AATGTAGGAACTTGCCTGGTTTGAGTAGAATGAAAGAATTTTTTAGCCCTTTTAAAACAATGATCAACAAACAATGAAGGGCACCCAGGTTATTGTACAATGGACTGAATGTGTTGCAGTTCTTCATCAATAAATTCAGGGTCACAAATACTCAAACATCTCAAAAACCTAGCAGAAAAAACTAACATTTTGGTAGACTCCTGGTGATTTGATAAAAAAATGTATGTAACTGTCTACGTGTGTAGGCTATCTATACACCTTAAATTTATAGTTATGACCATTTCTCATGATAAGCATGTCAAGAAATGGGAAGGGATCCATTTATTTCTCTTTCAATTTTGAAGGTAATTCTAGGGACAAGATCATTAAGCTTGTCTAAAAATTCCAGTGGGTCACTGTTTCTAGGCCAAAGACAAAGAACATCATCTACATTTCTATACCATGGAGTGCCAATGGAAAGTTTTACAAACAAATATTTGTCTTTCTGCTCCTTTAGCCTGTATTTATATGGATTTTTTTAAGGCTAGCTTACTACCCAATATAGGGGGATTTTATTCCTCCATGGTATAGATATGTAGATGATGTTCTTTGTCTTTGGCCTAGAGACAGTGATCCACTCATTTCTACTCCATCTCTCTACCTAATCACCCACACCTTTCTGCTGCCTCGCTCCATATTTTAAAAAGTTATACAGTAAAACCTCGATTAACCGACCCTCGATTAACCGACTTTCGGATTAACCGTCAATCCCGAACCCCTGAAAAAAAAAAATGCGGGGATTAGCCCACCCGGGCACAGGTCACTGACCCACATCGGGGCCTGGGGGGCGATAATGTAATAATATTAATAATGATAATGCTAATAATAATAGTAATAAAGAACCATAAAGAAATGCAAAAAGAAAAAAAAATCAAGAGTGAGAAACAATGTACCTGTATGTATGTTGTGTTGTCAATAGTAAGAGAAACAATTGAGACCCTGCAATTGTGTGTAAATGAGGTAGAAAGTCAGATCAGCAACCTGGGACTTGGTCACAATTTTTGTGATGACATAAGTTCTTTGACTTTTCCATTTTGTATTCACGGCTTCTGTGCTGGTTCATATTTATTTACTAAAGTGGTTAATGTTTTAAAGCAAATTCTATTGAAATATGAATGGCAAATGAACAAAAATGAATAGAGGGACTTAAACGAGGTAGGTTAGGGGAGAGGTACTTTGAAAAGGTATGTTTTATTTCCGTAGACTTTATGTACTACAGTTAACCCTCACTTTACGCGGTTAATGTAACCCGGAGGGTCCCGCGTAAAGTGAGAAACGCGTAAAGTGAATAACATAACATATGGGATTAATTGAAATGGAGTCCGGGCCGATCCCCAAACTCCACTTTTTGACGACACACAGCTATGTTGTAGTAAAAATTTTATCCTAACTTTATGATGGTATGAAAAAACAAGTAATATAGAAGAGGTTAGGTTAGGAAAGATAAAGGTTAACATAGGAAAAATAAAGGTTAGGTTAGAAAACTAAAAATTAGGTGTAACACTTACGGTAGTAGAAGAGATGGGTCGGCATACGGGGATGGAGGCTGGTTCCGAGGCAGACGGCAGATTACTGGCCCTCAGGTGAATCACCATTACTAGGTGAATCACCATCACTGTCACTTACAGTTGTCAGGGCTTCCCTGACAAATCCCTCAAAGTCATCTTCACTGCCACTATCACTGGCTTGGGCTGGCTGTGGTGTGTTGCGGGCGAAGAAATCTGTTATGCTTTGCTGACGGCTGGCGTTGATGTTGTCGTGATACACCTTGATGTACTGCTCCATAGCCTGCACCAGCCGGGTATGGAAGACTTCATAGCGGTCATCGTCATTGTCGCGGGAAAGGAAGGACTTCATCTTCTCTGCACACTCCATGGCACCCTTAATATCACTATGACTTAAATTGTGTTCTTCGGAGAATGCCGCACCTTCTTCCTCCTCTTCACTGACGTGTTCTTCTTCCAACATCTCGTCGGCAGTCACTTCAGGATTTCTGATCACCTCCAGGATGTCGTCGTTGGTGGTCTCGGAGAAGCCTGGAACTGTAACAGTCTGCGCAGCTTCTCTGGCAAGGTCCACTGCTACTGCAACATTCTGAACCTCACCAGTCACAGATTGACTCCTCCTCTCACCTGGTATTCCATGCAACACATGTCTCCATGCGTGACGAATTGTAGCAATAGACAGCTGATCCCATGACTCCACCAAGAAGTCCACAGCTTTCTTGATGTTAAATACTCTCCAGAATTGTTTGAAGAGTATTTTTTGCTGTTCTAACTGTTGATCCTCATCTTCTTCGCTCTTGCTATCGGTGGTGGTGTCACTCAGGTTACGCAACTCTTCCCTGGTGTTGGTGTAGTCGTTCAGGAGCTGGAATTTTTTTGTTGAGAATGCAGCTTTCACATTGCAAATCAACTCCTGGTCCATGGGCTGGATTAAAGACGTAGTGTTGGGAGGAAGGAAGACCACTTTTACGTTGGGGTGACGATCTAACAGTAGGGGCGAGTGTCCTGGTGCGTTGTCCAGCAGCAACAAAATATTAAATGGCACATTCTGTCGCTCACAGAATTTTTTTACATCGGGAACAAAACAGTCATCAAACCAGGAGAGGGACAGTGTAGAGAACATCCACGCCTTACGTGCGGTCAGCCAGTGGACGTTTAGCTTGGTCATGTCCATTGTTTTGTAGGCGTGCGGCTTGCGTGCTGTGTGGATCACCGATAACTTGAGCTTACAGGTACCGGAGGCATTGGTGGTAAACAGGACGGTGATGCGTTCCTTCTGCATTTTCCGGCCCCGAATCCTGCTGGCATTCTTCACAGCGAAGGACTTGGAAGGTAGCTTTTTCCAGAAAAGACCAGATTCGTCCATGTTAAACACCTGGTCGTCACTGTACTGTCCTTCCTCCATAATCTCACGTAAAAACGGAGGAAATTCCCGAGCCGCAGCACGATCAGCACTCGCTTCTTCACCACCAATGTTTATATTGGTGATCTTGTTCCGGATCTTAAACCTCTGTAACCACCCAGAGGAAGCATTAAAGGGTTTGGGCTCTGAAGTTCCCATCTTTCGTGCCACTGCCATGTACAGTTCACGTGCGTAGTCCTTAACAGAGCGCGTGTCGACCGCCATGTTCCGTCGCGCCTGACGCACCAAGTACCTCACAAGTAATTTTTCTGTCTTGAGAAGCACCTGGTTGTGAAAATACTTGATCATAGAAGCACCTGTAGACTTTGTGATCTTCATGTGCTCCTTTATCTTGGCTGAATCCTTCTTTATAGTCCGGATCGTAGATTCGTTCACGCCATGCTGGCGCGCCAAATCAACCTGCCTTGTTCCTTTCTCCAACTCTTGGATGATGCTATACTTCACCTCGTAGCTTAAGGAACGTCGTGTCTTCTTTGGTTTAGTGCCGCTGGGTCCAGGTAAGGAAAGGTTTCTCTCTGGGGGTGGTGGTCCGGCGGAAGCCATTTTACGGAACAATGGATGCGCGTTTACACGGAGTGGCCTTGAGGGATGAAACTGCCGCGGCTAGGTCAAGCGTCGTCTTTCCTCCCTCCCTCCCTCCCCCGGGTGGACACGTCATAATACTTTAAGCCAATTACAGCTAGCAGCAGAGGGGGGTAGGGATGCATGGCCAATCACAGGTCTGATACGTCATATGACGTCAGTGATAACGCAACAAAGACACACACTGCGCAACCTTACCGCGCCGCTTGCCCAAGCGGAGGGAGGAGGAGGGAGAGGCAGGCAGGCAGGCGGGCGGGTGGCGGGTGGGGCGAATCTAAAAATAGCGTCGCGCCGGACAATCTCCGCGTAATGGGGTTCACGTACCGCGTAATGTGAGCACGTGAGGTTCTGGCAAGGCACCGCGTAAACGTGGAAACGCGGAATGCGGGACCGCGTAAAGTGAGGGTTAACTGTATTAACCGACCTTTTCGATTATCCGTCGACTCCCCTTCCCCCCATATGTGGTCGGTTAATCGAGGTTTTACTGTATAACGTAATGTTGAAGGGATACAACTTTGCTCGTATATATACTTATATCTGTACTTAGCACAATCTCTCTAAGAATACTTTAGGTTTCATGTTCATTCAAGACAACTTCAGGTCATGAGACCCACTAATCCTACACTCAAGAAAGGGTAATATAAGACCACTAATCCCCTATCCTATCTACACTTGACATTGCTTCAGGTCAGGTCAGTTACATGAGACCCACTAATCCCCTACAGCTCCATAGGAGTGGAAAATATCAGTCTTTGCTGAAACACACAGCTTCATTCATGCCCATATCCTATACATTTTTAGTTTATATATATATATATATATATATATATATATATATATATATATATATATATATATATATATATATATATATATATATATATATATATATATATATATATATATATATATATATATATTTAACCAAACTTTAAGATAAACTATTCTGGATTATTATACTGTAGTAATGAAATTAAGTTTCTAACTTAATTAGAATTGTATTATGGACTCCAGTAGTTTAGACTCAGCACCCAAAAACTTTCTGGGGAAGTGGGCTAGTGTGTGTCTGTGTAAGAGGTCTTGTTTAGACACTTGGGAACTTTTCCCAGTAACCGGAAAAGGTTCTGGGGATAAGGAATTATTCCGGTTTTGAGAAAGTCGTCTTGTTACCCGGAAATCTCTCATCCCTGGAAGTGCTCTGCTCCAATTGTTCTGGCTAACGCAGATATCACTGTAGCTTGATTTCATTGGTGGAGGAGGATGTGAGGGATTGGTCCTTGTTGAGGTGAAAAGCTATAGGTAAATTTATTTAAAATAATAAATAGGACTGCTGTGCTTTTTTAAATATACAGGTACTAGATTCTGTTTACAACCAAATACATTTCAGATGCAGTTAGATGTTAAGTAATGTTGCTTTCTTATTTTACAAGTCTCATGTGTCCTCTTTACAGAATGTGTCGACTCGCAAGAACTTAAGTCAATATAATATAACAAACACCCGAGGCAAAGTAGTACGGTTTTGCATTTACAAGACCAGTTTCAGACTTGGAGAGGATATTGTAGCTACTTTTGACTTTAGCACAGCTGAGGTACCATGTGTCCAGGTGAGTCTCACTGCTTCTATAAACTCTTATTACAAATTGTTTTGACATCCATGCATGCAAATATTGGAGAGGGAACTCTACTGCATTGTATTGTACAACAGTGATCCCTCGGTTAACGAGCGCCTCGGTTAACGAGATTTCGGTTAACGATTTACCTTCCATAAGATTCTTAACTTCGGTTAACGAGCAATCCCTCGATTAACGAGTTTTTTACGAGCCGACCTCAACATGTTTTCACTTGCATTTGGCGGTCCAGCTGTAGTATTAGTCCGCCAATACAGTAATCGGTTCTAGGGCTTAAATTCCTTACTATTTTAGTAAATATCAAGAAGTTTATACTATTCAATAATTTTAAAAGTTTAATATTAAATTTTTTAGTAATTTTAACAATTATTGAACTTAATTGAAGGTAAAGATACTAGTTTCATGCGCGCCATCCAGCCTGGCAACACACCAAACAGGCGCCAGTCTCTCTCTCTTTTCAGTGGAGGGAACCTCTTGCTTGAGACTCTCTTCAACTAAATGCTTTTTTCTGTGTTTGCATGCAAATTATTGGTCATTTTGAAATTTAATTTACATACTGACTACCTATATATAATGCAGTGCAGTGTTGATTTAAGGAAAATAATCTTGAATTAAACCAAGAGAACTAAAATTTTATGGGTGAAATGGCGCCAGGGGAGACTTCTCTTCCACCCCAATGCCTTCTCTTCTCCCTTCTCCTCTACCCCCATTCTAATTCCCATCATCATCATCCAGGAGCTTTCTACATACACACCTCAAAGTAAGTGTACTTTTCTACCTTTTTTGTTGAATTTAGGCAATTTTCGGTGAGCTGGAACCAATTACCCAAAAACCCATTGAAACAATGGTTTCGGTTAACGAGCAACCTTCTGGAACGGATTGTGCTCGTTAACCGAGGGACCACTGTACTTGTTTCTTTATCACACATCAGAGCAGGAGTGTCAGACTCACTTGCCTGTGGAGGACTGGATTTAATATGAGTACAGTACATTAAGCGGGCCAATATATGTGTACATACAGTATACAGGTATATACAGTATTAGTGATGGATGGGACGTCACATTTCTGATATTTACGGATGCAGCTGTGATATCCATCTCTAATATATTATATACAGTGAACCCTCACTTTACGTGGTCAATTGAGCCCACGGCAGCCCGCGTAAAGCGAGAAACGCGTAAAGTGAACAACATAACATATAGGATTAATTGAAATAGAGACCGGGCCGACCCCCAAACTCCACTTTTTCAGACACAATACCTACGTTGTAGTAAAAAGAACTTCTTAATTTTATGATGGTATGCACACACAATTAATAATTAAGAAAAATATCAATAATATTAGGTTTTTTAACACTTACATTATTAGAAAAGATGGCTGGGCACACGGGGATGGGGGTTGGTTCCGAGGCAGAGGGCAGATTATTGGCCCTCACCTGTATCACTTGTATCAATTGTATCACTATCCACCACAGAGGCTTGCAGGGCCTCTTTGTCAAACCCTCAAAGTCCTATAAGTCCATATCCTCACTATCACTCACTGACTTAGGCGGCTGTGGTGGTGGCGGGTGAAGAACTTCGGTAATGTTTTGATGACTGAGCGATGCGCACCCTGCCCGGCGCCCGTGGCGTAAAGAGTACATGCACGCGTAAAGTGAGCTGTTGGCAGGGTACCGCCGTAAGCGTGAAGCTGCGGAAGCAGGGTTTTACTGTGGTAGAACCTCTATAAACCAGAGTAATTGGGACAGACTCCTCTTCGGAAAATGTTAAAGTCCGAAAAAAGTGAATCTTTGGGGTCCGGATGTAACCCTGCTTATCTAGACTGTTCCCAGAAAATCGGACATAAATATGGTTATTGATAAATGTTTTCACTGATATGACTGTAAAGTGTTTCTATAATACAACATGCATACTGTATATTGTTTCTCACTCTTGTTATTTTTTTTATTTTTTGTATTTATTTATGGTTATTATTATATTGTTATTATTTTTTTATTTGTTATAATTTTATTATTATTATGATTATTATTATTCTTATTATTCTTATTATTCTTATTATTCTTATTCTCATTCTCATTCTTATTCTCATTATTATTATTATTATTATTGTTATTATTATTATTATTATTATTATTATTATTATTATTATTATTATTTTTATTTTATTTTTATTATTATTTTATTATTATTATTATTATTATTATTATTATTATTATTATTATTATTATTATTATTATTTTTATTTTATTTTTTTATTATTATTATTATTATTATATTTATTCACCTTCCCCCTCTTTGGGCCTGATGTGGGTCAGTGACCTGTACCCGGGTGGGCTAATCTCTGTAACTAATAAAGTGCTCCATGTGTACTGGGTAGGAGTGTGTAACCAACCAGGGCTGTCCAAAAAATCCTTATGGCGAGTCAGATAAAAAAATCACAAGTCCATCAGGCAAGTGATAATTTTGCCTCCTCTTGAAGTGAAGGGGATCTCCTACGATTTTGAAGGTTTTATATTGAACGGTTCTTCAATCTGCATGAGAATAATGGATATTGATTACTGCTTGTCAGTTGACTCACTGAGGCACCACCAACACAGCGAGAGATGGTGAGTGGATGTGTAATAATTAACCTGCAGCTGGTCATTAATGTTCAAGTACGTGATTGCTGATGTTACTATCTCTGTTCATTCCATTACTAGAACTTTTTCTAAATATACTTTTCCTGAGTCTTTGAAACTGAGTCTAGCTACCATAATCTGTTGGCTGGTGGTGTCTGGAATCTTGTGTAAATGTTTCCCTCCACTCTGTATTAAGTGATATCCCCTTGGAACAATTGGTGCAGAGCACTTCCGGGGATGAGAGATTTCAGGACTTTCTGCTCCTTATCCTTCAGAATCTTTTCCGGTTCTTGGAAAATTTTTAGGTGTTAAACAAGACATCTTGCACACACAGACACTAGCCCACTTCCCCAGATTGTTTCTGGGTGCTGGGGATGTTTTCCTTGAGTCTAAACTACCGGAGTCCGTAAATGCAGTTCTAATTAAGTTAGAAACTCCATTTCTTTACTATAATAATCCAGAATAGTTTATCTGAAAGCTTGGCAAAATAAATATATTTGAAAATTAAAAACCTCTATGATATGGGCATGAATGAAGTTGTGTGTTACAGCAAAAACTGGTATTTTCCACTCCCATGGAGCTGTGGGGGATTAGTGGGTCTCTTTATGACCTGACACAATGTAAGGTCGTAGGGTGGGGGATTAGTGGTCCCATATTACTGACATTCTGGTGGAATGTCAGATCACCCTTTCTTGGCCAGGGGATTAGTGGGTCTCATGACCTGAAGATGTCTTGAATAAACATGAAACCTAAAGTATTTTTAGAGAGATTGTGATAAGTACAGATATAAGTATAAATGAACAAAGTTGTATCCCTTCAACATTACATTACATTTTAAAATATGGAGCGAGGAAGCAGAAAGGTGTGGGCGATGAGAGAGATGGAGTGGAAATGAGTGTTGCCAGTGCTTCTCTCAACAGCTGATATTTAGCTCACATTCACACAGCGTAAATTTGTCACACAACAGGACCCTCCTCCTTATGTTTGTTGTCTTAATTCCCTTGTTTCCTTGTTAAGGTATGTGTGTGTGGTGTTGGCGTGCGTGTGTGTGTGGTTGTTAGGTGCATGTGTGTGTGGTTGTTGGGTATGTGTGTGTGGTTGTTGGCGTGTGTGTGTGTGGTTGTTGGAGTGCATGTGTGTGTGGTTGTTGGGTGCATGTGTGTGTGGTGTTGGCGTGCTGTGTGTGTGGTGTTGTGCATGTGTGTGTGTGGTTGTTGGCGTGCATGTGTGTGTGGTTGTTGGAGTGCATGTGTGTGTGGTGTTGGCGTGCATGTGTGTGTGGTTGTTGGCGTGCATGTGTGTGTGGTTGTTGGAGTGCATGTGTGTGTGTTGGTGTGTGTTGGAGTGCGTGTGTGTGTGTGGTTGTTGGAGTGCATGTGTGTGTGTGTGTTAGTGCATGTGTGTGGTTGTGTGTGTGTGTGGTTGTTGGGTGCGATGTGTGTGTGGTTGTTGGGTGCATGTGTGTGTGAGTGCATGTGTGTGTGGTTGTTGGAGTGCGTGTGTGTGTGTTGGTGGTGTGTGTGGATGTGCATGTGTGTGGTTGTGGCGTGCATGTGTGTGGTTGTTGGGTGCTGTGTGTGGTTGTTGGAGTGCGTGTGTGTGGTTGTTTAAGTTTTGTGTGTGTGTGTGGTTGTTGGAGTGCGTGTGTGTGTTGGTTGTTGGGTGCGTGTGTGTGGTTGTTTGATGCGTGTGTGTGTGGAGTGCTGTGTGTGTGTTGGAGTGCGTGTGTGTGTGGTTGTTGGAGTGCATGTGTGTGTGGTTGTTGGGTGCATGTGTGTGTGGTTGTTGGAGTGCATGTGTGTGTGGTTGTTGGAGTGCATGTGTGTGTGGTTGTTGGAGTGCATGTGTGTGTGGTTGTTGGGTGTGTGTGTGTGTGTGTTGTGGGTGCGTGTGTGTGGTTGTTGTTGGGTGTGTGTGTGTGTGGTGTGGAGTGCGTGTGTGTGGTTGTTGGAGTGCTGTGTGTGTGTGGTTGTTGGGTGCAGTGTGTGTGGTTGTTGGGTGCATGTGTGTGTGGTTGTTGGAGTGCATGTGTGTGTGTGGTTGTTTGGAGCTGTGTGTGTGGTTGTTGGGTGCTGTGTGTGTGGTTGTTGGAGTGCTGTGTGTGTGGTTGTTGGAGTGCTGTGTGTGGTTGTTGTGAGTGTGTGTGTGTGGTTGTTGGAGTGCATTTGTGTGTGGTTGTTGGAGTGCATGTGTGTGTGGTTGTTGGATGCATGTGTGTGTGGTTGTTGGAGTGCTGTGTGTGTGTTGGGTGCGTGTGTGTGTGGTTGTTGGAGTGCTGTGTGTGTGTGTGTGTGTGTTGTTGGAGTGCGTGTGTGTGTGTGTGGTTGTTGGAGTGTGTGTGTGTGTGTGTGTGGTTGTT